TACACCAAGCAGGAAGGGGGCCCTTTTTTCCCACACCTTACATATCTCAACGCTCCCTCTGCAGTAGCGACAAAACTCAGTCAACCGTGCTTTCTTTTTCCTACCTTTTCTTTCCTTTCCTTGCCATTGACGACGCATTCCGACACCGAAAAGGAACTGCAAACCCGCATTGAGATACCCAGGTCGTGGTCATCAGGTAAGCTGCACCGCTTTTTCTGTTTACTTTCCTGCCCCCCTTCATTTCTGCCGCTGCCGCATCGAGGTCCATCGAGGTCGTCGTTTGCCCGTTTCCCGTTCCTGTTTGCAGCGTTCACGTCGTTGGCCTGTTCACCCGGCAGCGTTCCTGGCTTGTTCCCACGCCATTTGGGTTGTTGCCGCTGGCTGCCGCTGCCGCTGCCACTGCCACTGTCTGCTCCTTCCTCCTTGCTGCGCGTGGCGGTACGTACCTCCAACCGTGCTGGCCTGTGGCTGCCGCCTTGCCTGGGGCCACTTCTGGGGCTGTCCAGCGCCTTGGTCACGTCGCCGCAGCTAATTTTTTTTTTTTTTTTTCCCTCTCACCTCGCGCTCTCACACGTCCACTTTTCCCCTAACCCTGCCGGCCATCTGCACCCCCGATCATAAGGTTTCTTGGCCCCTGTTACCTCATCTCATCCGAGACCGTCTGTACGCGAACTTTGACAAACACTCCTCGACACTGGACAGCCCTCGGCGTCGGAGGCACCAGCTTTTCCTTCCACACTCTCTCTCCGGCCATCAATCCTGGCTTTGACACTCTTCTAGCCTGTATATCAGGCCTTCCATCTGCATCTACTGACAGGAGGCGCGTCTAGTTGGTCGATCTGATACGGCCGCCTTCACACCTATTCACTCCCTCTGCTTTTCCGCCTTCACCGCGACTCGACTCGCACACATCCGAGAAGGACATAACCATCCCTCGATCGACTCTACGAGTGCTCTCCGCACGCGTGCCATCTCCGACGATTAATCAACGCATCTGTGGTGGGCTGTGCCTCCATTCTACGATCATCACCACTCCTTGCGCCACGTCGATATTCTTACCGACACAACCCGAGTCACTATATATAATCGTCACCGCTTCGGCTACCCACTCAACACCAAGCAACACCGATCTCGACTCGAGCGAAGCTTGACCCGGGCGGATACTTTGGGCGGCAAGGACGAGCAACATACTGGTCTGTGATCTTTGATCGGTCTCTCCCGGATTTTTCGCAGCACCCGTACAAGGTAAGCCTGCGAGCACAACCCGTCAGTCTGATTCAGCCCGGATCCGCCACCAGGTGCTCCTGGCACTTCTAGTCATGCCAGCGAGCATGCCGGGCTACCCCCGCGATCATTTTGCCTTGCCCAACCCTGTGTGTGGAGTCGCACTCAAAACGCTCCCTACTCGTGGCGATGTGCTTCCCCCCTCAAGATGGCGCTGCTCCCTAGGCGCCTTCGTCCTTTTAGCCTCTTGCCTCTCGGTGTCGCTCTGTATACTAACTTTTTTCCAAGAACACGCAGTCCTTTTGAACCTAAAGTCACCTTCGTCTGACGCGGTGAACCGTCCGAAAACCATCCTGCAAGCTGGCCATCCACGCAGCAGGGATACTGACACCGACTGGCGATTTCCATCGTAATATGAGGTCGCCTGTTCCGGGCGAAGTAATGGACATTGGCAACTTGATGAATCAAAGAGCTATGCAACAACACGCCCCCATGCACACCGGAAACACCCCGGATCGCCAGATGCCTCATCTCCCTCAACTCACCGCGAGAAACATGGCCGAACCCCCAATGGACCGCGCCGGCTCCCCTCACGGATCTGAATACTCTCAACACTCTCGTCACACCATGGAAGGTGTCCCACGATCATACCCGTCGCCCAGCGCCGGCTCATACCCCTCTCCCAGCGCCATGGTCGGCGCCCCGATGTCCATGCAGGTTCCTGTCTCTCACATGGCACCGATCCTGCCTGGCATCCCGCAAGAGATGTCCCAGCACATGGGCTATAAGGCGCCCGAGCAGCAGGCACCTCAGCAGCCTGCAAAGGCCTACCCGTGCAGCACCTGCGGCAAAGGCTTCGCCCGCCGCAGCGACCTGGCCCGTCACGGTATGTACTGATCTATTGTTTCGTGGACCAGCACTAACTTGAACAGAACGCATTCACAGCGGCATCCGCCCTCACGTCTGCGACTTCCCCAACTGCGGCAAGCAGTTTATCCAGCGATCTGCCCTCACCGTCCACCAGCGTGTCCACACGGGCGAAAAGCCTCACATGTGCGAGCGGTGCGGCAAGCCTTTCAGCGACAGCAGTTCCCTCGCCCGTCACCGCCGAATCCACTCCGGCAAGCGTCCGTACAAGTGCCCGTACGCCGACTGCCAAAAGACCTTTACCCGCCGCACCACCCTGACCAGGCATCAAAACCACCACACCGGCACCGTCGAGGAGGCGGCTGCTGCCACTGCCGCTGCGCTTGCTGCCCGTGGAGCTGCTGCCAAGCCCACCCGCTCCGACGGCGACGCCATGTCCAACCGTGGCTCCCCTCTGACGACACCCTCGCCCGGCCAGCGGACCCTCTCAATGTCTCCCAGCGCGGACAACATGCACCGGGCCAACGCCGAGTTCCAGTACATGGGCAACAGCTCCCTCCCCGTGCACCTCCAGCGCGACATGCACGTCGGCAGCCCTGCGTCGACAACATCGGCCGGCTACAACAACGGCATCCGCCCGACCTCCCACCCTACGGGCTACGGACCTCCTCCTACGCTGGAGCCCAGCGTCGAGCAGCACTCGGGTCCCGGCAGCGCAGGCGGCAGCCCTCACATGAGCAGCGTTGGCTGGCAGTCCCCGTCTCACGTCCCGTCGCCCTCGCACAGCAGCAACGGCGGCAACGGATACACCTACCCCGACCCCGACGCGTACCCGTCTGCCCCCTCGCTCGGCGGCCAGATGTTCTACGGCAACGCCGGTCAGGTCCGCCGCCCCCAGAGCACGGAGCCCCCCGCCGCCTACGATATCAAGGGTCGTCAGAGCGAACTGTGGGCGGGCGCCCACTAGGAGTCTCAGGGCGAGTGATCTGTCTGCGTCTTCCTTGGACAGTTGTGTCTTTTTTCTTTTTCCTCGAGTAACGAAAAGTTTGTGCATGGCAAGGTGGTGGGTGGGTAAATACATACAACTTTAATACTGCGGGCTGCACCGGGAACGGGTCAGGGAGATACCACAGGGTCGGTCAGCCATCTGGTTCGTTTAAAAACACGCCTTTTCTTTTGTAGCTTGATAGACGGGCGGAAAGCACAACTTCATGATGACTCTGGGCCTGCATAGGCATTGGCGGGAGGCAACGGTTGGGAGGAGTTTCCAAGATCAGGAAACGAGCGCTCCTGGGCGGGACACCCCGATAAAGGACTGGACTCTTGTTTTGTTGCGGATCTTTGTATGCAAACCTGTACTAGACAATGAACGCGAGTAGCTTATTCTTCTCATCGCAAGTCTGTGAATTCAGTGACAATCCAGGTGGGGGGCAGTGTTCTCAACAGCTTCACTTATGGTACACCTAATACCTCAATGGGGACGAAAGTAGTAGAGAAACCAATGACAACAAGAACGACGACGACAGAAGACGACAGCGATGGACGATGATAGACAACAACAATATAGGCGATTAGAAGGGGTAATTACACGCGTGTGTAGTGGACACTGCCCGGATCAAACCTCCTGCGATCTCAGTGACAATCCAAGTGGGGAGCAGACGTGACCAGGGCCAAGCTTGAGGTTCGATCTCACGATGGTCAGTGTGCGGACGACGGGGCGAGTCTAAGGTAGCGTTGCGTTGGATGGTCCGGGGGACGGCGACCCGCTGCACTTGGCAAACTTATGATGGAATGGCAGCTGGGTCGACGGGCTTCGTTCGATGCCAAGGGGACGGCCACGCGAGCCTACTTAACAAGTGGCCTCGCTCCTGCATGCGCTGACAGCGGCTGGATGACAGCTTTTCGGCCGAACCCATTTCCTCATCATCGAAAGCTGATGACCAAACGCGGTTCTTGTTTTCTAATCGGGGCGATCTAGCCTCAGTGCCTCAGCAGCAGAAGTGAGGCGGGCGGGGCGATTCAGACCCGATGCATACGTCGTTTGTTCTGGTCTCGGGTTGATGAGAAAATCAGAAAAGAAAAAGTGTTTCTGCGGGGGGCAGAGGACCGCCTTCCGCGGGTGGCATCTGGTTGGTCGGCTGTCTCGCAGGTGTTGGTTGCTGCATTTGCTGCTTTTGGGAAATAAGTGATTACTCAACTCGAAATCTTGAATCATTCTTCTGAGGTCAGGAGCTCGGATAATGCGAGAGGAAACCGGAGACGGACGGCTCCTTTTTTTGGCTTTAGTGAGACGGGCAGGGCGGGCGTTGCGCGTGGCATTCCCCCCCAAAGGTAGATTGCTAGTCCGAGTGTACCCGTTTTCCAGCTGCTGCGCTTGCTTTGCTTGTCGTTCTGAATCGCTAATCCGAACGTTTTGTTCTCGGTAGCCCCCAGAGATGACTCGATTAGTATACAGTCTCTGGTGGAACCCTCGCCCGTGTTTGCTTGTCTTGGTGTAAGCCGAGAAGGGGAGGGGGAGGGGGGTGCGTAAGAGAGAGAAACAGTGTCTGGGTGTTTGTGGGATATTTATCCCACTGGCAGCTCAGCCGGCGGGAAGCAAGCCTGATTACTATTCAATGTCGTGCCTTGGGTCTCTTGACCTCACCTGAGGCGTGGGCGGCCGAAGTGAGGAAAAAAAAAAAAGACTCTCTCTCGAGACTTAAGATGCATGGCTGGCCCTGATTCATTCTTTCGCTTTTTGCCCGTCCGTTCCCGGATTGAAGTTAGTAGTCCCCGCAGAGCGTGTAGCTGATCCCACGCGGTTTGACGCCATCGCGGACCGAGGCTTTTCTGCTTCGGGGCTAAGAGGAATATCAAGTCTTCACCCACCACTTTCGGCATTCTGCAGAATCTCACGTTGCACAAACAAAATGACAGTCATTCGTATCGAGGCCGTCACGGACATGCTCTGTCCGTGGTGCTACGTCGGCAAAAAGAACCTCGACCGCGCGATCGAGCTGTACCGCGAGACGGACCCGTCCGCCGAGTTCCAGGTGGCATGGAAGCCCTTCTATCTCAGCCCGGCGATGAAGAACTCTGGTTGGTTAGCCGCCCATTTTCACCTAGACTCACACTGACGCAGACAGGATACGATAAGCGCACCGTCTACACGAGGACGTTCTCCGCGGCGGGCGATTTTGAGTCGGCTTTCGAACGCGTCTCGTCCGAATGCAGCCGGGCAGGCATCAAACTCGATATCAGCGGTACCACGGGCAACTCTCGGCAGTGCCACAAGCTCATCGCCCTCGCGTTGATGAAGGGCTTCGACGTGCAGGACCGGCTGCTGGATGCCCTGTTCCGGGGCCACTTTGAGGAGGGTGCCGACATTTCGGACAGGGAGTTCCTTCTGGCGGCGGCGGCGGAGGCGGGGCTGGACGAGCGCGAGGCTGCAAGGGTGCTCGACAGCGAGCGGGCCGGCGAGATTGTCGACGGCGAGGTCATCCGGGCGAGGAAAGCGGGCGTGAACGGCGTGCCCACCTTCACCATCCAGGGCCGGTGGAGAGTCGGGGGGAAACAGGAGCCGGACGTCTTTCTGAGAGTGTTTGAGAGAGTTGCCGAGGAGTGAGTGAGACGTTTGCCTAGTCGAGTCAGCAGCATAGCGGCGCGGATGATACCACAGTTGAGCATCGGGTCTGGTAATAAGTTTATTCATCGCGTTTTCTGCCCCTCACCACAGGACCTGTCCCTGATCGGCCGTGACAAAGCCAGTCTGAAACCCATTCTATAAGACCGAGGAAACCTATCCGAATATGCCCAAAGAGCCGCCGCCCATCAAAACGCCAGAAATGCAGCCAAATGTGTCCGTCTACCGCTTCGTAAGGTGGCTGTAGTCCTTGAGCAGATGCTCCATGTGCGTGTTGGTCGTCTTGCCGGTGCGGCGGACGGCGCGCTTCTTTTGCTTGTTGTTCTTGGGGTCGACCTTCTTGATGAGGCTCGGGTCGGCGCTGGCGGGCTTCTGCCCGACGGAGACGAGCTTCTTGACGATGTCGTCGGTGCTTGGCACCTCAACAGCATTCCACATGCGCTTGAACTCGTCGTCGACGTGGTGATGCAGCGTCGCGTCGTCGAGCCAGATGGCGCGGGGGTGCTGCTCCTTCTTCGTCTTGACGATGAGGATCTTGTGCTCGCGCTCCAGCTCCATCAACGCCTGGTCGCAGTCAGGCCAGCCGTCTTTCAGGTCCTTGACGTTGGTCCCCTCGGCGTCCTTCTTGCTCTGCAGGTGGCGCAGGAGCGAAATCTTGTCCTTGACACCAGGGATGATGGGCCGGTGGACATACGTGCCGGTCCTCCACGTCTGCTCCGAGAGCTTCGAGTCGGGGACCCACTGGATGCGCGGGTGGCGGCGCATGGCCTCGACCAGCGACTGCTTGTGCTTGTCGGTGCTACGCGTCTGGCCCAGGTGGTCAAAGATCTCCGTGGCCGTCTTCGGCTCGTCCTTGCCCTTGAGCCACTCGAGGGCATACTGCATCTGCGTGAAGACCTCCTGACCAAAACTAGTGTTCTGAGGCTGCGAGTAGACGACAGCGTTAGGATCGCGCTTGCGCTTGCCGGACGAGGCATCGTTCTTGGATGCGGTGCTGCCGACGGAAGGAGAGGGCGAGGGCGGCGCCAACGACGGCTTCTTGGCCGTCAGCTTGCTGGCGGCCGAGGCGAGCGAGCTGTTGAAGGCTGCCTTTTGCTTCTCGAGGAGGGACGACATCTTGGCGGCGGGCTAAAACGGTGTCTAGTATATATTGGAGGGAATCGATGACGGGTTGTAGATGCTTCTTAGCATGCGGTCGTGGGTGTTGCTGGCTCGATAGACGTTTAGTGAGTGATCAGGCAGCCGCGCGACTCTGCCGATCGAGAAGCAGGAATAAAATCAAGTCTTTTCGGGAGTCTGCGCCGTCGCTCGTATCTCGTAGATTCCCAGGTTCCCCGACAACTCTTCGCTTCAATGGTCAGCTGCGTGAGCTGGGCGGCGTCGCCCTGTCGTCGGCGGCTCGCTGCCTCGTCCTCGCGGTCGCTCTCCTCGGGTCGCGCTGTCGTGCCTTGTTCGTTTTTTCTCCTTTCGTTCCCGCTGCTTCGATATCCACAATTATATCCAGACGTTTGCTGCGATCAGCCGGTTGACAATGACGGCGCAAGCAGGGTGACGGACGGAAGATTCTTTGCTGAGCCGAGATGGGAAGCTGCTGATTCAATCTTCTTGGACGTTCGGCACTGTGGCGCACGGACGTGGCTGATGAGCTAAGCCACGCCAGGCACCTTTATCTCCGATCGAATGCATTTCCGATGGACGCCTACGGACTCTCGCTTCCATCAATGAAAGACCCATCATGTACCTTGTGGGTGTCTCATGCAATTTTCCGATGGGTTCCGGCTGTTGTCTCTCACAAGCTGGCGACAGAGTGGCTGTGGATATGGCATGCACGGGCCATGCCCCTATGGCGGGTTGACGCAAGAGTGGGAGCCGAAAGTGGCCGTCAAGAGTGGGAGTTGACCTTGGTAGATATGGTTTTGGTGAATGAATTGACGGCAGACAAGTCCGGACTATAGAGGTACGTCTGGAATAAGGCGTCCCGGCATTGGCCGCAATGGTTGGTGACATGCGCACCATCAAAGCGGTCAGCGCCGAGCAGCCAGTCACAAGCATCCCGAGTCCGAATTGTCCAGAGAATCGCAGACAGCAAGACACACTCATCCTTGTTGTCAACTATATCCAGCGCTTCTTGCCCATCTCCAAACACCCCGTAAACAAACGTCCATAAGAATCGTGACCGAACGTATATTCTATTAAAAGCAATATCTTCAACTGGCAGATTCGGCTCAGTTGGAGCACAACCAGCCAGATCCACCTCACGACGTCAAAAAAGCTCCTGCCGACCGACGTCAAACCTCTTGTCAGATGATCGTAAAGACGAGAGAGACCCGTCATCAATCCCGTCACATCCGCCTGCGTGCCTCATTACGGGGCGGCGCGCGCGCGTTTCCCCTCTGGAACCGTGCGCGGTGACGGCTTCCATCTTCATCCCCCTTAAAGTACTCGCTTGGCAGTCAAAAAACACAACAAAAGTCCGCCGAGGAACTTATGCGGACTGCTGCTGTTGCTGCTGCTGGTAGTTGTAGGCGACGTAGGCGAGGACACCACCGATGAGGAGGACGGCGTACAGGCCGATGCCGAAGCCGGGGCTCTCGGTGTGGCCGGCGGAGGTGGCGGGAGCGGTTTGCTTCTTGGGGGAAGGGTCGCCGGGCTGAAGAGGAAGAGGAGCGTTAGCTGTGAATATCCCGAGCATGTGCGCATGCGCGCGGAGGGGTTTCGGCTTACCTGGCGCTTCAGGTCGCCAATGTAAAGCTGGTCGAGGGTCTCGCGGGCCTCGTCGCTGTGGCCGACATCCTCGAAAGCCTCGGAGGCATCCTGACCGCCGACATCGAGCAGAACCTCCTCACCACCGCTAGAGACAAAATGTCAGTTGGGACGAACAGACGGACAATGGGGGAGCCGGCCATTCAGGGGCAGCCGAGGTCGAGTAGTACTCACGGGTGCTCGTCGACAAACTTGGTGCAGTCGTAGATCTTGTCGTGGACTACAATGTAAATGTCCTTCTTGGTGTTGTGCTCGGCAACATCCTGGTAGGTGAGTTCGACGCCGCCCATTGTGACAGATTTCGCAAAAGAGGGTTCTCGTTCTGTTGGTGATAAACGTGGCTTTTGTTGAGCAGCAAACGGGGTTGCGAACTGTTCTTTTGTTTCGGTGAAACTTGGTGGGTGGATGTGCGAAGCAGGTGAAGAAGCAGGACAAAGAGACTTTTTGGCGAGATTTAGAGGTGGCAGTTGCACAATCAGGCCAGCTCGGATGTTGTTGAGCCCGCTTCACTATTATCGCGTAAAATTGGGGGGGGATAGCTGATGGAAGCTTCTGCTTTGACAGTGGACACAATTGCAGCTTGGGGGGAAAAAAGGATATCGGGGGTCCGCTCAGGGGGGACTTTCGGGCCAATGAGGGACACCGAAATTAGTGCACACCTGCTGTGATTCGCCGACCTGGTGGATTGGGCGTCCAGGGTTTAGAGGGATTGAGCCTTCGAGGTACCGTTTTTAGGGGCCAGCAACGGGAGGTTGAGAGCCCAGCTGGAGACTCCATGACTGGAGAGGTCCAGTGCCCAGAGAGTGGGAGCGGGGCTGGCACCCCGGCGGAGCGAATGTGATGCCGCCGTTCCTGTCGGCATCGCACTCGGGAAGGGCTGGCAAATGAATGTGAATACGGCGTATGTCACCCACGGCTGTATTCGCAAACTTACGCAGTAGGTCTACCAAGCCTGCCTCGCCTTACCCTGCGACACCCGTTCCTTACCTTGGTCCTAGGCAGTGCCACGTCTCTTCCCCGCCCATTGAGACTCGACCAGGCTGTCTCCGAGTCAGGGCGAACGTTGCTCAGAAGAGAGAGCAAGCACTGCGACGTGAGGGCATGCCGTGCCTGTCCTGACCGCCCAAGCTGCTGCGTCCAGTTAGCTCGTTTCGAAACGCGGGTCTCTTGCCGGAATCCTGTCGGTGTCCGCTGCAGCGTGGCTCATTCGACGAGTAGCCGTCGCCTCTCAGTTCCGCTTCCACGTCGTCGCAAACCCTCTGCGAATATCTACAGCGGAAACCGCTCGTCGTCTGCCGGAATTTCAGCCACAGGGTCCGGTCCGTTCCCCAGTATTTCGTGTTCGTATCCTTGCATTGCTACATCACTGGGCTCGACAAGCAACCCGACCGAGTGCAACGCCGCAGCTGGCCGGTCCAGTGTAATGCGTCCCGCGGGGGGGATTGCCAATCATCCAGCCATACCCACAACCCGCCCGTCATCTAGCCACTGGGTTGGGTTCCTCGAGACTTGTGCCCGTCGGAATGTTCCTTATCTCACCGGTTCCGCGGGGTCCCTGTGGGCGCGTAAATGGCGCTCACGGACTCTTGGCCGACGGTTGATAGTCCGAAATCCCACGGAGCACACGGAATATTCCAAGACCTGGGACGGCAGACCTGATTCAGATAAATCACCCATGCTGCCTGCAGAGCGGCCGTCCCCTTCAGTCCGCACTACATAAGACCGGCGCTGCTGTCTCTGACATGCAACCCGTACGGCTTTTCTGCCCGCATGTCAATCCCGCTCGCTGACATCTGGGAGTTCGGGATGATGCCGAGGCACTCCGTGCGTCCTCCGGGATCGTGATGTCAATTCCACACAGATGCAAAAGGCGGGGAACGCGCGGGGTAATCAAGCTGGCTTCTGATATCGGTTCCCAAGGCGTTTTGGCCGTGGCTCGCGGTTTATTTCCTGAACGGGTAAAAATCGCCGGCACACTCGCTTTTGCTGCATTCCATCAGATATGCACACGGCTGTTTTAGCCACTCTTGTATCGAGGCGGTCCCGAGTCCGTGGGAATACATCACCGAACCATTGCCGTGACAGACGAAAGGAGGCTCGCTCCAGTTGGACGCCTGCTAAATGCACGGAGGATATCGATCTAACGTCTACTCAACACGGCCCCGTCCCCAGCTCATCGCCTTCCGCTGCCTCCACCAATGTCCTGTCCGAGACGGTACGAGGTGATCTTGTCCCACTCAATCTTCTGTCTGGTCACGGGCAGCTGCCGTCTCAGGCCCTTGAACGCTCCCTCGCTCAGATTCGTGAACCCCCTGTTGAGCTCCTCCTGGTACTTCTTCTCCGAGTTCGAAATCTCCTTGACGATGCCGGCGCCGGTGCCCGAGACGGACGTCTGTGTGGGGCGGCTGGTGAGCAGGCGGACGTTGCCGTCTTCGTAGTAGTGCACGTCGACCTTGACGGAGCCCTCGAGGCTCTCGGAGGAGGGGTCGTAGATGTAGAGGGAGCGCCAGCGGCCGTTCCTGGGCACGTCAGCAAGGCTCGAGGAGCTGTGAGGAAAGCACATACCAAAAGTTGTTGGGAGAGTACTTGTTGGAAACGATAATGACGGCGACCTTGGAGTCGTTCTCGGTCGGGTAGACTCCGTACGCGGCGTTGGGGAAGTGCTCCTTGACGTAGGGGCCGAGGCTCTTCAGCGTCGACTTGCTGCATTCCGTTTAGCACCATCCCTCCCATCCACGCAGCGTCACCTACATCAAGTCGGCGTTGGCGCCCTCCAGAACGTAGCTCTGCGCGTTGCTGGCCTTCTGTGTGCTGTGGTCGAAGGTGAAGCTCGTGGAGCTCTCGACGTCAAAGTATTGACCGTTACCCAGCGAGTTGTGAGAGCTGACGATGACCTGATGTATTCCCTTAGCTTCCGATCGCTCCCTCGAGCGCCGCTTGACCGACCTGCTGGCTGCTGCCGGGCAGCTTCACTGTGATGAACTGCTCCTCATTGTACTTCTCGAACGCCGGCTCGAGGCTCGAAACGAGTTCGGGGTCGGACACGGTGAGGGACTTGATGTCTTTGTCGGGTTAGCTGTCGGTCGGGCTGCGAACCGGTGGCGGCGTGTCGTTACCTGCGATGACATCTGCGAGCTTCAATCAGGTCAGCTCGGGGTGTGCACGGTGGAAACAGCTCAACGTACCTCACCAGGGGGGGCTCCCTCCACGAAAGAGGACACGGTCTCGACTTGGGACATTCTGGGGTGATTTGCCAGAGTGGTGTATGCTTGTAATATCGCGTGGGCGGTGATGATGCGGCGGTGGACGTTGAAACATCAGGTACCTGATGCGGGGCAATTGGCGGGACACCGACGACGGGGACGATGACGGGGGCAGCGACGGATTGGCCAGGAAAGGGGCGTTAATTGTTAGCGCGCAACCTCCACTGTAGGTGGGATGAAGCACAATCGAGTTGTACCTTTCCATCAATTCGCCAGGACACCAGATACGATTCTTTCTTTGCAATCACTGCTTGCAATTCAAAGAGCGATTGATTTTATAACTTTGGTCTTCTAGTAGCGAACACGACATGGCAACGGTAGATCGGCCTTGAGCTTCAATTTGGTATCCTTTTGCCTTCCAAAGTCTAGGTCTAAGCCCACACGCGTCTTCAGATTGATCATCATGGGTATGTATTAAAAGTTGACGTCCATCCTCCCGCCTCAGTAGTCCAACACCCGCTTAATATTGTCGTAAACCCCTGGGTAGGTCAGCAAACTGTTCAAAGACTCGCATCAAAGACCACTTACTCGCAACATCCGGGATGTTGAACTTCTCATACAACAACGGCGTATGAATGCTCCATCCCGCAACCCTCGCAACTGGCGCCTCCAGTCGCAGGAACGTATCCGGGTCCTCCTGGATGGCTGCAGCAACCTCCGCGCCGACGCCGGCATTGACCATCGCCTCGTGCACCACGATACAGTGGCCCGTCTTGCGGACGCTCTCAAAGACGCACTCCTTGTCCCACGGGTACAGCGTCCTGAGATCGATGAGCTCCACGGAGATGCCCAGCTCCTCTTCGGCCTTTTGGATGGCCGACATGCACGTGTACAGTGGTTGACCGTAGGACACAATCGTCACGTCCTTGCCCTCCTTCAGAACCTCCGCCTTGGACAGCGGCAGAGTGTACGCCCCTGCGGGCACTTGCTCAACAGCGGCCCGGTAGAGTATCTTGGGCTCCATGAAGATGCACGGGTCGTTGCTACGAATGGCTGACAACAAGAGACCCTTGGCCTGGAGAGGTGACCTCGGCATGATCACTCGCAGTCCAGGGATGTGCGTGAACAAGCTCTCAGGGGACTGGGAGTGGTAGAGGGCGCCGTGGCCGACGCCGCCGCAAGGCATCCGGACCGTGAGACCGCCCACGCTGCGACCGCAAGCACCGTCTCTGTATCGGAACTTGGCCGCTTCATTGACGAGCTGGTCGAATGCCGGGTATACGTAGTCGGCAAACTGGATTTCTGCCACTGGCCGCATGCCCTCCGCTGCCACACCGATGGCGAAGCCCATGATGCCCTGCTCCGTCAGGGGCGTATTGAAGATGCGGTCCGCGCCGTACGTCTCGGCGAGCTTCATTGTGCACCGGAACACGCCGCCAAAGGCAACGTCCTCTCCAAACACCATGACGGAGTCGTCTTCGGCCAGCGCAATCGACAGGGCGTCATTGATGGCCTGGAACAGGTTCATCTTCTTCGTCGTGCCATTGCGGACTTCGGCTGGGAGCTCGACCGTGCTGAGGGCCGCCTGAGACGAGTGCGCGAGGAGAGAGGTCGTCGCGTAGTCGACGGGGATGTTGAGCTTCGCATTGGGCGGGTGCGTCGAGTAAAGCCGAGAGACGGCAAGGGGAAGCTGGGTCGACACGGACGGCGCCAGCGCTCGGCGGAGTGGACGTAATGAAATGGACCTCATTGTGTATGATATTTGTAGCCGGCAGAATCACTGCGAGACCCAATTCCCATGAATGTCTAAAGACGAGGGAACTGAGACCGCCGGCTCGACGAGGGAGGCTGTCCTACTAACCCGCGCCCGGGTGATGTAAGTTCGGCTTGCAGCGGCGTTCGCGGGGTCGCAGCGGCCCTTGGCGGGCGACCGACCCTGCCGGCCACTTTACGCCCTGATAAGAGGCCCGAGCGATTGTTGCCCTGCCAACAGCCGAGCCGCCAGCCCAGCGCCAAAACAGGGCAGTGGACATGATTACGATCTTGGTATCCTTGGCGTCAACACGTATATCCATCTGGAATGGCCGCCGGTCAGTAGCATTCCAGTGCAACGACGTCTAGCACTTTTTCCGACGGCATTCCATCTCCAACAATGGCGCCCGGTGAATCCTCGAGACCGTCGTCGCACCGACCGCGGGACTCATCGGGCAGGAAACATCAACACAAGAAACGGCGGTCACAGGATCAGAGATCGAGACGGCCAGCGACCGATTCTGGAGAGAGCAGGGGCTCGCAGACGCTTTCGGCGGACGCGCTGGCACAGTTGAACCAGGAGAACACGAGAAGACCAAAGAGACGGGGATCCGATGCGAGGCCAAGAGACCCGGAAAGAGATGCGGAGAGGGAAAGGCTGCGGAGGGAAAGGAGGGAACGAAGGGCACGCCGTGCCGCTGCAGAGAGTGCAGACGCCCCGAGGGAAAAGGATCCGCCGAGGGAGAGGCCGCGACGAGTGCAAAAGGAAGAGTACCGAGATTTGCCGTATGAGAAACCGCGGAAAGACAGGCACAAGAAGAAGCGGGTGGTCAGCGGCGCCATTCTCGAGGAGGGCCGGGGGTCGCGTGGTCTGAGAGGCGGCGGATGGAGCAGCACCGACAGCAACAGCCTCGAGAAGGAACGTCTCGTGGATGACCCACCCGGGCCGATCAAGAAGAGGAAGAAGCTTTGTAAGTGATCCGGCAGAGGTCCGCGACCGCCAGCTAACCGCCGCCAGGGATATGCCTTGGAGTCTGTTTGGTCTTATTGATCATCATCATCGTCGTGGCAGTGGTGGTCAGCAAGAAAAACTCCAACAACAGCGACTCGAGCTCGGTAAACCTCGACGGCCAGGACAAGAACAGCATTCCGATGAAATGGCGCGGTACCTATCTCGACCCGTGGTCCTGGGCCGACACCACCGATTTCAACGTCACTTTTACCGACGAGATGGTTGGCGATCTGCCAGTCATGGGCCTGTACACCGACTGGGACGACTCGACGCAGGCCAATAGCAAGGTCCCGAAGCTCAACGAGGACTGGGGCTCGTACGGATCAAGGCCGGCGCGCGGAGTCAACGTCGGTGGCTGGCTGAACCTGGAGCCCTTCATCACGCCCTCGCTCTTCAACTACGACTCCCGTCTCGGCATCATCGACGAGTACACCCTCTGCACGCACCTGGGCGCCAAAAAGACGGCCCAGGTACTCGAGGACCACTACAAGTCCTTCGTGACGGAAGACACGTTCAAGGAGATTGCGGATGCTGGACTCGATCACGTACGCATTCCCTTCAACTACTGGGCGATCGAGGTCTACGACGGCGATCCGTACCTCTTCCGCACGTCATGGCGATACCTCCTCCGCGGCATCGAATGGGCTCGCAAGTACGGCCTCCGCGTCAACCTCGACGTCCACGGCCTGCCTGGCAGTCAGAACGGGTGGAACCACTCTGGCCGTCAGGGGGTCATCGGCTGGCTCAACGGCACCGACGGCGCCACCAACGCCCAGCGCAGCTTGGACTTGCACGACCGGCTGTCAAAGTTCTTTGCGCAGGACCGGTACAAGAACATCGTTGCCTTCTACGGCCTTGTCAACGAGCCCAAGATGACGGAGCTGAGCGCGACGGGTGTCGTCGCGTGGACGGAGCAGGCCTACAAGCTCGTCAAGGGCAACGGGATCAAGGCCATCGTGGTGTTTGGCGACGGCTTCATGGGCCTCGGCAACTGGCAGGGCAAGATGACGGGCTACAGCGACCTGGCGCTCGACGTGCACCAGTACGTGATTTTTAACACGGACCAGATCGTGTACACGCACCAGAAGAAGGTCCAGTACGCCTGCGACGGCTGGACGCAGCAGGCGGAGCAGTCGATGGACACGTCGACGGGCTACGGGCCGACGCTCTTCGCCGAGTGGTCGCAGGCCGACACGGACTGCGCCAAGTACGTGACCAACGTCAACTGGGGCAACCGGTGGACGGGCACGTACGACACGGGCAACTCTTCGACGTCGATCCTGACGCCGCGGTGCCCGACAGAGGACAGCCAGTGCAGCTGCGACAAGGCCAACGGCGACCCCAGCGGGTTCAGCAGCGATTACAAGCAGTTTCTGCAAATGTTCGCCGAGGCGCAGATGCACTCGTTCGAGAAGGGGTGGGGCTGGTGGTACTGGACATGGGACACGGAGAGCTCGCCGCTGTGGAGCTACAAAAAGGGCCTCGCGGCCGGAATCCTGCCTGCCAAGGCCTACGACCGGGACTTTGACTGCTCCGGAACGGTGCCGTCGTGGAGCAGCTTGCCGGAGTATTACTGATGGGCCGTGGTTTTTTTGCATGCAACTGGCGTTTGGGGCGAGCAACCTGCATTTGACTGAACGAGGCATATAGAGTGAGCGATGACGATGAACATGTATGAGGGAGACGTAGTCATGTATGATAATAACGCTGGAGACGCACATGATGCCAGTATTAGATAGCTTTAACGACAGCACGCTGAGGTTCAGCCGTCAAATTTTGATGCCGTCAATATTGTGACATGAGTTCGTAGACTGTAGCTCTTACACATTAGACATAGTTACGCAGTACATCAAAGCTGATCATTCTTGATTAGAAATGCGTCCATCTCCAGGGACGTCAACACAAGTCCACGGACGTTGCTGACAGACAGCCCGTCATCGCACGTGGCCCGAAGGATCTCACCATCCCACGCTACGGTAACCGGCGCCGAAGAGAGCTCGGGGCAGGTGTCAAGAAGCACAGACTGGACGAAAAACAGACGGTCGGGATCGGCAGGCGGGTTGACGGCGCTCGCGCTTCGCCCTCTCCGACGACGCGAAATGAGTCTTCCTTTTCGGAGGGGGGGCAGCAATCCAGCAATCAGTGGGAATGCAACCCCACTTACCGGCTTCGTGGGCCCGGTCGGATCACGAACTAATGTAGGGAACATGGAAGATGGGAAAAGCCGATTGAAGCTTATCGAATGGCGCGAGAACTGTTGGCCAGGCAGGGC